CAACATCGTCGATTAAGATTTGCGACCCAGGAAGAAGCAGCATTCATAAGGATATCTGTCGTGTCTGAGGTGAGGAGTCCAAATTTCTATTACAATATTTTAACATTTTTGTCATACGGTGTGTCACAAAAAAGATGAGTTTGTGATAGCATCGGCTGAAATATCATCTAGTTCTAACGCAAAAATATTTTTGTTTATAATTTGTCTTCAAATCGGCTATTAGTCAGTTACATAAATTATGTCTTTTACTTAAAATATTCCTAACTACAGATAGGTTTGCCCTATATTCTATATCTATTAATGGATAAGACTGCTAGTAGTATCCAATTTTAAAGTTGAATTCAAGTGTTCAACTAATCTGATGGAAGAGATGCTCTGTGTACGCTTATTTGGTGGTACTCTCAAGGAGAGACAAATATCTGAGTACTTGAACTTCAAGTTATCAAGTTGCACGCAAATAGTTATTACGAAGAAAATGGAAGAACATATTCGTTTAGGACAATCCAATTATTAGACATTCTTCTATCATTGAGTCAGACTATTGCGATAAGCTGTAGAAAGAAAATAATGTGTGTCTGTTTTAGTTTCTATTCACAGTATTTGGATTTACATAAAGTCAGAGAGAATAAAACAATCTTGTGCGTGAGAGACGCTATTTCTATTAGAACGAAAACAGGTATATAAAATAATTATCAGTGCTTATTTTAAAAAGGATTTCATGAAAACATTGTAATTTACTAATTAACACTTCATCTCGTAGTAATCATATGATAGACAAGTAAACGTTCATATTTCTAGCGTTTTTCATTCCGAATTTTGAGACCAATTTTTGACTGTTTCAATACTAGGCAATTGGTTATTGAACTCGAAAAAGAGATTCTGTCACGATCAATTACTTGAGTTTCAGTTTTGCAAAGCTTCGACTCAGTCTAATCTGCTGCATTGAGTAAAGAAAGTTAAGTACCTATAGAATAAGAGTTCACAGTGAACTTTAGCGTAACCTCTTCCCTACAGTTTCAACATATCCTGAGAATTGCATGCAACTTGAACGTACAGTGCTGGACAAAAGTTCTGGGACAAACTTTTCTATTTTATAATAATTTGTTAAGAAGCTATTATGAGCAAATGGTGATGTGCTTTGATAGATCTAATAGCAACCTTTCATATACTATTATAGCATTATAATTGCACGTTTCTGTAGCAAGTTATATAAATTTAAATATTAGCCCATGGGCCAAAAGTACTGGAACAAAGCACGAATATTCCATCGGATATCTAATACTATATACAAAAAATGATTAGATGAAACTGAAAATTTCAGAATTTGTAGTTCTTAGAGAGACAATATTGTTGATAAAAGATAGTTTTCAACAATCTATTAGCTTCGTAATTTGCTGAGACTAACAAGAATGATATATCTAGACACATTACGTCCCTATCGATCTGGACTCCAATACATGGGTTCTTCATGAAACTTTCATGATATATTGAGAGTAGTACCATTAGCATATATCCAAAATTTCAGCTCATCTCTTCATATCAATCCCGAGATATTTCAAGTTTAATGTCGAAAAATAGTACTTTTTCGGTGTAGGATCTCATCCATGCCTTACGTCCTAACTGACTCGGGACTTTTTTAAATTATAGAAGACACATGGCTTGATGTTGCTACGGCGTCCATTTTTTTAATCTCTCATTAGTTGTCTAGTAAGTGAAAATTAATTGCCACATGGGTCCGAAAATTGGTGGGTGTGGGTGTGGTGTCTGGTTCTGGTTCAAAAGACCTACACCTACACCTACACCCACGGCCACACCCCACCCACACTCACACCCCACCCCACCCACACTCACCCAGTTTGATGAATACGATTACAATTGAAGAACTATTTTTTAAATGGATTTTGATGATTATGATCCATACAAGTATAAGCTGGGACTATAAGTTGCACATGTGATCTTTATATATCTACGATGGAAAGAGATAGATAATATTATTGTGAGGCAAGTAGAAACGACGAATGAATGGTGTAGTGGGGAAAAGATGAGAAAGGGAAAAGTATAGAGAGAAGATATGAAGAAAGAAATAGTTAAAGATGGATAGGAATCAGTGACGTAGCCAGGATTTTTTAAGTAGTTGGCAATTTACCAACTAAATTATTTTGAGTAGGTGACAGCATTGGGCAATTGTAAAATCTAGTGGGCAATAATTTTTAAAAACTTATTCGCATTACAGAAGCCGTTGTTTGCTGAAGAGAAATTAGTAATCCTGCATTAACAGATAAATTCACTCGCTTTTTGTCTTTACAGTATTTCAGAAATGTATTCTTTGATTTCATATATTTGAATATTTCATGTCAAAAAGTCATAAATAAGTATCAATGGAACAAGAAAATCAATCTTTCTTCTGAATATGTAGTAGAGACACAATGACTGTCAGTCAATCTTTTTTCGTCAAACATTGATCAATACCTCTTTATTTTCTTTCGTCAGGCAATGAAGAAAGTTCATTTATCTTCTTTAGTCGTACAATGGCATGAATTAGTTTGTTCTCTTGCGTCGGACAATAACAAGCATTATTCCACATATATCTCTAACAAATTCTCAATCATGAAAGTTTTTTTTTTGCATGGTTCTAATGTTCAGTCATATGCACATCCTGTAAACTACATATTATCATTTAATTACTAATGCCCATTCCAAAAAAAGGCGGGTAGGTATTTTTCGAATAGCGTTTGATAGGAAAATGGTAGAGAGCTGCGATTTTTACCGTTGAAAAGAGCAGATAAAAACGCATCGAACAAGATAAGACAATGACTTTTAACTTGGATTTTTGAAATTTTGTGCAATAGTTGAATAAAGAAATGCCTTGAAAACAGGTATCATTTTTCCAGGAAAAAACTCCAAAACTGAGTTCGTTTTACAGAAATTGCTGGCAAAGTGGACTAGAATTGTCGAATATAATACCTAGAACGCTCAAACCAGTAAAACTTTGAATGATAGCCTTATATATAGTTTTGTAGCTCGTCAGCTGGCGATTCTAATTCATTTCTCAAAGTTTAAGATTTATTCTATCTTCATAGAGCAACAGTCTTCTCTTTCAAGATGGCCATGGACTATGCAGGAATATTTAATCATGGCTATGGATATCCACATGGTGAATATGACTATGGTTAGTAATTAAAAATATTTGCATAAATATCTTTACAGTTAACTTTTTCAATCAATATTATAATGCCTTTTATAATGGCTCTTAATTAAAAGTTTCTTTTACTTATTGAAAACAGTCATAGTCTATTTCATTTATTAAATAGTAGATTAGATTTCTATAGCATTAGGATATTCTCTTAATACAAACAATTTGCTAATAAGATTTAGTTGATTTACATAATAAAACTTGAATATACATTATTTGCTTGATAATTTTATATTTAATCTTTCTTATCATTGTTTCTTCAATATTGTTAATGATTATAAAACAAGATATTTATATTACTCATGTCTTTGAAAGGATTCATCTTTCGCCTCGATCGTTCTCATTTAACTAAATTCTTCATTTTCAGCAGTCTAGTGTTCAATCATACAATTCCTATTTCTCATTCTGAAGAATACATGCAACATGATTATTACGTCAACACACAAAGCCTTCATCTCACGAGAATCTAGTGTCATCCAAAAGCACACATACATATGAAATTAAAAGACATTTTCTTTTGTCTATATGATGCTCATTATTATTAGTTGATTTCAATGCAAATTTTTCATTTAATAAATTAAAAAGTGAAAGTGTTAATAAAACACGTTTTCTTCTCTTTAGATTATCAATTATTTAAAAAACATCTTTTTCCTGACTGATTCTCTCAAAATTGTAAATATTTAAACCGTAAATAATATCATGCTTGAAAAGAAATGAACATGAGACAATTTCAGATGGACATTCACCCATAATCATATATCACCTCAGGGTCATTAATAGAGTCCTGCGAGACAGTGCCGAATCCCGAAAAATCCCGTCCTGCAGGGCAAACGGGATTGTCCCGAAAAAACTTCGGGACGGGACAGTTGGAAAATTTTCGGGACGAGACAAACGGGATTCGGGACAATTCAAAAAAAACGTTGTCCCGATATTTTTGAACTTGTATATCGGAATCCGTTGTAGACTCGAAATTTTCTATTTTCAGTAAGCGTTTAAATATTGAAATAAATAGTATAAAAAAACATACTGCGAGATACCTAAAAATCTGTCTATTATCAATCTCTTCATCAGTTATCTCACTTCTATTGCAGTTTGGACATATCGTCTCATTTAGTTAACGTGCAGTGCACACCAATCAATATATGAACACGAGCGAAAGTCTACTCAAATTGCAGTTATACTTCAACTTAATCTCTTTTTTCTTTTTCTAAACTTCAGCTACGAGCAGATAAATTTTCTTCAACATTTGAACTTCGAATATTTCGTTTGATAAATAGTAAACTAAGTTTGATCTGCATCTGAGCCTTTTTCTTGATTGGTATAGCATAGTCAGAAGCGCTTATCGGAAAACAACTAATTCATCTCAAAATTATGGATATGAATAAATTGTTTCTATCGATAGTATAAAAAAGATGTATCGTTCTTTAACAAAACCATATCTTTATTATTCTTTTCAGCTAACGGGACAAACGGGGCTTTTCGGGACAGGACAAACTGGATTCGGGACACGAAAAAGTTTGTCCTGCAGATCTCTAGTCGTTAACCATACTCACTACAGGAAATGTTTGTATTTTAATCAATACCTTTCGCATTGTTGATTAACGTGATCTTTCTATTTCTCTCGTGGACTTTTTTTCACATGTTGATTCATAGAGAAAAGTGATCCATTCAAGCAAAGAACGAGTGGACATTTGGCTTTTATAATGAGTTTATTTTAATTGATCAATATGATTCAAATATATTTAACTTTTTCAAAGTATTAACATTTGTCGAAAAAAAAAAAACAAGTTTTTCACAAAATGAATATTTATAAGAAAGCAAAATATTTATGAAAACTTTCTGAACCAACAAATAATTCAAGTATATGAAGATCTTTTAATTTGTCGAAATTGAGATGTACTACATCATTGGTAAAATTATTTGTTATTTTTTCGAGTGACTCGTATCGAATATAGAGATTTAACAAATTAGGTAGATGAGTATATTTCTTCAAAAGAAATTGTTCAACATAATTTACATGTGCAAACTGTATATGCAGAAGTGTAAGATTTGGAAAAGTTATCAATGGAAACGAATCTTCGTTATATTTTTCTGATTCATCATTATATATACATAGATATTGTAGAAAAGGAAAATCTTGTGAAATAATTTTGAATAATTTATGCTCAAACGGATACGTATCTACCATCATCAAGTTTCGAACTTTATGAAACATGCCACCTGGAAAAGAAATGCTGAGATCATGAAAATATTCAAATTCATATGGAATTGAATAGATATGACATTCGCCTTTAGTCTCCATTGACCATGTATGAACATATGAACCAACTTGACCATATTTTTTTCCAATAAAACTACATTGGATATTTTCATTTGATGAAAGATTAATTCTAATATTCTTATTAACAACAAATGTCTTTATACTGAATGTAAATTTATTTAATCTTGGCATATAAATAAGAATTTGATCATATAATTGAATACCATCAATATAAATCGAATCAAATCTTCTTACGAATAAATATAATTTCAATTCTTCAAGATTTATCATTCGATCAAGTAACGGACAAACTAGATCATCATAATAAGATGTGTAATTATTTGAAATTAATGAGAAATATTTCAATTTGGGAAGTTTCGTCTATAACAAAAAAAATAATATTAACAATATCTATCTATCTGTGTTAGTGTAGTGTTTTATTTCAAGTATTTTTTAAAAGACATCCATGATTATCTCCAAATTAGGAACTGATACCATTAGTATATAGAACTCTGCGAGTAATTCTTCAAACACTTATCAACATCCAAAATAATTCAAATTTAAAAGTAATTTCTAATTTATACTCTTTTCTTCAACCTAGGACCAGTCACAGATTTTGATAATTAGTCGATCTACTCGATTTATGTATATACCAAAAATATTAGGCTTTTATATTGTAGTATAAGAAAAATAGCAAAGACACATTTTCTTGATTTTTATTCTATTATTAGACTTTTCAATTTCTCAGCCACATGCAAATTCTCACTAATAGGCATAATAATCGATAAAATATGTTCTTTCTTTTCTTCTTATATTACAAGATAAAGGTCTAATCTTTTGAAGATGTACGTGACTCGAGAAGGCCTACTTACTGCTAAAACCTATGAGAGATCGTAGGTTCAAAAAATAACCAGTGTGCATTGGAAATTACTTTTTATGTTTGAACTATTTTGAATGATCATGAATGTTCATAGAAATAGCTTGCAAAGTTTCATATACTAATGGTATAAGTTCCCAATTTGGCGTAATTGCCTCTTTTACAAATATCTGTATTTTTCTATAAAATATTGTACTTACAATGTTATCTGTGTTCGATATTGTAGAGGAAATTTGAGTTATCCTGATAATTAATGTTGATAAACAATTTAGACGTCCATCAAGAAGATCAAGACAATCATCAATAATTTCAACATTAATTTTCAAATTAGTTAAAGTTGAAGACTTGAAACTTGGTGGTGGTAGATTATAAATACTAACTGGCAAATCTTGATCAGAAAAGTAACAAAAATTTAAATTGATCAATCGTTTGCATAAAGATAAAATAGATGTAAAAAAATATGTTCGGACTGCCGAGTACTCTTTCGGTGTCTTGTTTAGAATATTAATATTAAGATGTGTAATTTGTTTAGCAAAAAGATCATGAAGAAATAAATCATCTTCAATTGAAAAAAGAAACGAAGAATGATTATTAATTTATGTCTAATAAATTCATTATTTAGTTAATTAAAACGAACAAAATAAAATAATATACCTGTAAAATATCGAAGAAATATTTTTTCTGGAAAATTAACAAGTGATAAAGAATAAAGTTGACGATAATTGAAACTAAGAATAGGTTTTATTGAATGTGGTTCAACAGTAAGTCTTTCTATTTGATGTTGAATTCTAGGTAAGATTTTTTCACAAATTCTTGAAATTTGTTTGTCTATTGGAATAATATGATCAAACGATGAATTGATGGTCATATCAAGATGATGAATATAAAGAAAATCAAATATTAATCGATTAAATCGTTCATTAACATCCACAAGTGAATAGAGAACATCAACCATATTCAATTTGTTGATAATGATGACTAATATTTCATTTGGTAAATCGAGTATATTGAGATGATTGTAGTTTGAAGTGTTCATATCTAACCGATTATGTCTATTCAGGACAATTTATATATGTCTGCATTTTCTTATCGTCGTCTATGAGAATAAGGAAGAAAAAATATTGATGCCCGTTATGCTAGCCAATGATGAATAGGTGATGTCATTTTTCCTTCTTTGGGGTCAAACAGACTAGATGAATTAAAACTGAATTAAGAGATATGATTGGTGTTTCTACTTAGCAACACCAATCATATCTCTTAATTCAGTTTTAATTCGTCTAGTCTGTTTGGGCCCTTTCTTATATTTTCCGTTGTATTTCATTAGTCGTTCATCCGCCAGGTCATTCTTCTTTTTTTCTTTGAGCATTTATCATGTAATGTTCTCTTGATCATGCATGATATTATGTTTAGAATAATATGGTTTATCAAATAGACACTAGAAATCTATGCACAAATTGTCAAACGTATTGTTTAATAAGAGTATTCGAAGATGTAAAATCTACTGGCGTGTGTGTATGACCTTTTGGTGAAATTTTTGAAAATTTATTAGTATTTGGAGAAATCTTTAATAGAAAACAACGTAGCGTGGAAATAAACTATGTATACTTCCATATCAAGGTTCCGAATGGAACTCGGAGACAAAATGTTTTCGTACACTTTGCTTAACTTAGTAAAATGTACGTGTACACTTAGCTTTCGCAAGCAAAAGGTAGCAAAGTGTAGACATCGAAGTTTCCTCGTATAAGCTAAAAAAAAAGGTGTTCATGTATATCTTAGAGAAAAGAAAAAGAAAGATTAACCGATAGTAAAATTGATCAAAAGAGGTCGTGTTGTACATTTTATACTTCATTGATAGAAATATTAATTCATATGCAAACAAATTTTTGGATAAAAAACAAAGCATTATTTTCGTAAACACAGTGTATTGCATACACTTTGGTTTTGTCAGCAGTGTGTAAAACAGAGTGTAAATTGAATTTAGCAAGTGTTTCGCACACTTTGATTCTGCTTGGTACCCTTGCTATTCGGATCCTTGTTCCATATATATAAACAAAATCGTCATTCAAATAAAAAAAATTTCACGTAGTCTTTAACCTGAAAAAAGAGGGCGCTCAATATCACTGTATCGCAAACACTTGTACGAATTCTCGATTGATACTAAACATGAAATAAATGTGAACCATCTTATGTGAAAATTTTTGCATAACAATACATCATGAACCAAATAACGTTAAACTTGATTTTGTACAAATCAGAAGAAAAATAAATGGCACATTTCTTTATTGTTGTGAAAACTGAATAAAGACTGACTTGTAATTCAATAAGGTTTTTCTAATACGAATTATACTTACAATCATTGCACTATCGAAGGCTATTTTTTTATTCTTATGAATTATTTCCAATTTATCACATTGAAGTCACTTCAGTTTTGGTGAATTATTTTAAATTCTTGATTAGATGTTTTCTGAAAAGTTCACGGAAATTCAATTAAATGCTAGTAAAGAAGATATAGAAGATATTACAAATAGAGATACATAGAAGGTATAGGATATATAGGAGATATTAAAGATATGAGAGATACTACTTAGGGCAGTCCAAAAGTAGTGTCGTCATGGTCGTTTTTCCTTATTAATAAGGAAAAAAAATTTTCTTTTGTTATGAATAGATAGAGCGTCTTTCACTCTATTTTTCTACGCTATTTGATCATACTTTAACTAATATCATGATAATAAATTTTTGATAAAACGTTTTTCGTTAACATGTTTGCTCGTTGTAAGTTGTACGTCGCAGTTTTCAATTCTTTATTAGTTGTATTAACAACCAAAATATGTCATAAGATGCAGCGTGAAAAGCTCTACAATTTCTATAAGACCGCTTATTTTCTAGTGCACATTTTGTTCTTAAAATAGACTAAATTTTGAGCGATCAAATTTCGATCATGAAAAAAGACAATGTTTTTGAAACACGGCGAATTCATTATTGTTATCTGATCATTTTATCACCTAATATGCTTTATCAAAAGAAAAACAAAATACACAAGATGATGCAGCGTGAACAGCTCTATAATCTACATAGTAAGGTTTATTGTAATTGTTTTGAAAAAAAGGAAAATTCTATACGATTAGTTTTTACAACGACCAAAGTTCGATTACTCAAAACTTTGTCCATTTTGAAAACAAAAAGTGCAACTAGAAAATAAGCGGTCTTATGGAAATTGTAGAGCCTTTCACACTGCATCTTATGGAATATTTTGGTTGTTAATAAAATGTATTAGTGGACTAAAATACTAACCCGTCTGACTCATTGTGAGCTAGTACAACGAGCAAACATGTTAATGAAAAAAGTCTTATCAAAAATTTATTATCATGATATTAGTTAAAGTATGATCAAATAGCATAGAAAAATAGAGTGAAATACGGTCTATCTATTCATAAAAAAAGAAAAATTTTTTTCCTTATAATAAGGAAAAACGACCACAACGACACTACTTTTGGACTGCCCTAAGTAATATACCAGTAAAGCTATTTAATTCTGTAATTTCTAAATGATAATATTATGTCACGTTCAAAGCATTTGTAATATCCATGATTGCTAATTCATAACATTCATCATCAGGTATATATGGAATAATCAATTACTGGATTTTGAAAGTTCAAAAGAAGAATCAATCACATTATATTGTCTATCATCTTCATATCATCTTTTTCTAAAAGAAAAATAAATTTATTTATTTTATATAAGAGTCTCTTCTCTATGTACCTATATGGACCAACTGAATACAGGCAGTGTCCACCTTCAATTTCAGTTTCAAGTATCCATCGTCGTTCAATCCAAAATGATGAATTAAATTGATTTGATTCTCGATAATATACCGGAGATTCATCATCGTCATCATCATTAATATATACATAATATTGGAAATAAAATTTTTCTAATTGAGGTAAATTATTGTCCAATTATTTTTTTCCATTGATCAGCATTAAGAAAAGTCAGATCTTCAGAGTGAATAATTAGACTTAAGACTTTTAATTTACAGCTCATTTTACTAATGAATATTTCAATTTGATCAAATGTTAGGAGTTATTCACATATGAGATCATCAATATCTAATCACACGAGAAAAGTTTATCGTTGGTTAAAGTTTAAAGAGAAAAAAAGGTTTGATGAGAATCAAACAACATTGAACTTTATTATTAAATATTTTTCACTTTTCTGTTACAAGCTAAAATTTTCACTTCAATGAATCTTCTTTTAAGAATAATTTATAATATTTTTTAGTTTCCTTTCGTTTTCATCGAAAGATAACTTTGGTCACAAATATTCTTCTTCTCCTCTAAAGCATTTTATGATTTCGCCGGTGTTTTCTTTGAGCAAATTATATATTTATATAGAATTTTCTATCGACGAAAGCATCATTTGTTTTTAGTATTTGTTATTTTATATTATTGAAAGTATACACAATAAAGAAAAAGTGCAAATATCAAAACTCTTCCTATAAAAAATACAGATGAATATGGCGATCATTGATTGATGATATTATTCAATCATCATTTCAACATACAAATTTCATCATAATCTCTTATTTTTAAGAAATTTCGTTACATTAATTAACTTATAACTCATTTCAAATGACTATTTTTATTATACATTAGAATTAAAGATGTGTATGTGAAAATATCAATAACTATGTTCCTGCAGATTGTTTGCAGCGAAATAACTGGCATTTTAAAGTTAAACTATCGTTTGTCCCGGAAATACTAAACTGATATATCCTTACTTAGCAAATCGATATTGTAAACAAAATTAGTCTAATTATATGATAAGATGAATGTTCTACTGCTTATATGTCTTATTTATTGTTTCCATCTTTGATTGTTCTAATCGAATATTCATCTAAGAGTGAAAGAGAAATCTTCAAACAGGGGCAGATATCTCATAGTTTTACAAGAAATTTCCAATAAATGAATTGCATTAGATAATTCATTTGAACAAATAAAATAAATTCACTTCTTTTAATTGTTCATATTTCAAATCACCTATCAATAGTCGTATCTTGAATTAAGAACATTGATGAAACGACAATCAATCATGTCTGAAAATGTATAGTCGACATAAATTCATTTCTTTATTCTTTTTGATGAACTGCATTAAAAAACAAAAATTTAGACAGACTAAATACCAAGGGGAAAACGGCGGATTTTGGATTTTCGGATTTCTTTTGGATTTTGAAAATTCAAAAATCCAACAGCAACGTTTTCTTGCAAATAAAGGAATTTCGAGCTGAAATTTTTGCCATATGTAGGTCTTGTGGTCCTTAGAATATCCTAAAATTTTCGGCGCAAACGAATGTTCAAGCGGATGTTTTCTTCTGAAGAGATAATGCAATTGCAAGAAATACTTATATTTCACAGCACGGTCAGAAAATCCACTTTTCTTGAAAATTGATTATCTTGACAGGGAAACATCCGTTTGCACTGAAACTTTTAGAATATTTTAAGGACCACGAGGTCTACATATGATAAAAATTTCACCTCAAAATTCCTTCAATTTACAAGAGAACATAGCCGGCGGATTTTGTGATTTTTTCGAATTTTTTGGGATTTCTGGATTTTTTTCGGATTTTTCATGGATTGGCAATCCCGAAAATCCGTCGTTTCCCCCTTGATAAATACGTTAGATACACTAACGAGGGAACCATCCGAGGTGTCAAAAAGCTTTTCGGTCGGAGATATGATGGTTAGATAGGGCATAGCTAGGAGTGATATACCCTAAGTTAGTTCGGACCCAAGTTGAGATCTGGCTGAGATATCGACTTTTTACTAGAATTTGTCTACGAGACTCCATCTTCCCCATGAAATCAAACTTTTGAGTTTTGACGTGAAACTTTGCCCATGTCAAGGCCTCAACTAGAGTAGTTCATCCACAAAGTTTCAGAATTTTTAGACTAAGCATTCC